AAGCTCATGAGATGAAAAAGGTCATGTTGAGTTAAAAATATCTTGACTGAAATAAACCTGAAAATGCAAGATAATTTCCCAACAATAGGAATTATTGATTTATTAATGATTAATTGCTGTCGTGAAAATGATAGCTTGCTGCAGTGATTTGTTAAAAAGTTATTCTGTTAAGAGCTTTGGAGTGCAATTGAATTAAAGCACAGTTATCTGTTATTTATCAATTCGAAAATTTTTTAATTTACATTTCGAATCTCTGTTACAGTCAGTTATATTATACCAAGAAAATACCGAGGAGAAGGTTATTAGGGTTGGATCGAGGGTCAAAAATGTCTAATACTTTAAAGGATTCTTATCTGAAATCTGATACTTTATATCATGAAACTCTGATCAATTTACTCTGTAACAGTGAATAAAAATTACATAATTTAGTTAAGTCTTAAGTATTTTTTATTCTTTAATACAAATATGTTTTTTTTAATTAAAAATTTGATTGTTTGAAAGCAAAAAAAGACATTGCAAATAATGAATTAAGAATTTAATTTAATTGAATGTAACAAGGTAGTAATAAAAGGTATACTTGTTCTGATAAGAACTGGAGAAATATGATTTACCCTGAAAGAGTAATTCTATGCAATTATCAAATTAGAACAATAACATAATTTCAACCATAAAGATTGCAACTTTCAAGTTAGCACGAGTTTGAAACCTGATGTAAAATTAAATCAGTGGAAATTATTGACCATATATTTTTCAATATTTTGTATTGTTACTGCACAGTATTTATAACAATATAACAAACTATAGAAAATATAAATCAAGCTGAAAATGTTTGCTCAAATCTACTGTAGTCATTGTATTTCATAAATATAATTACAAAAATGTAATATATATCACAAATACTGTTGTAACAAGAGAAAAATAGTCACAATATTTGTATTTTCATATATAGTATTTATTTATATTAAAAATGAAAATAATAAAATTCAGACTCATATTTAAACAACATTAGATCATTAGATATGAATTAATTACATAATTAGTGAAAACGGATAAGCAACAGTATACAAAACAAATCAACATGCCTACACAAGGCAGGAATGTACTGAGCAATGTATTTGCATGTCGATTATAATTATCTCTTTAATGTTTCATTAAATTGCATTCAGTAGATAGATAGTGTAAGCACGCGAAGTCGAAACAAATGTAGTTAAGTTGCTCATAGTTAGCATTTACTTTCCCCTCACTCTCTGTGCAATCTATGTTTCAAAATCCACATTACACTATTACCTGGAACGTTGATGATGGATGTCATTGGAGATAATGCTATGGCCTGTTTTGTTTACTGCTGCCATCACGCTCAAGGGTCAAACTAATGTATTGCTAACATTCTCCCATAAGCTTTAGCTTGCTTACAAACAATTTCAGAAATTTGTGATGACGGTGATTGATCTATACTACTCATGTTAACCTTTAATGTTATTTGGCTAATTTCTTTTTCCTTAAAAACTTTTTTCACGGGATAATAGTCGAATAAAAAAGAGGATAAATATCCAAAAAAAATGATAGATGATATTGTCGGTGAAGAAAAAAAAGGAAAATAATATTTTATTCTTCAATAAATCTATAAATTTCTAATCTAGGTTTTTTTTTCTAAAGATTTACATTTAGATTAAATAACTAAAATACATTATTTACTGCTATTTTTTCACTTTCTTCTATTCATTTATTTACTATTATTAATAATTTTATGATGTTTTAAATTCAAAAATTTTACATTAAAAAACATGATAAAATTTTTATAGAGTATTTTACTGGTAATAAAAAAGCAGTAGGAGTAATATAATTTATTTATGTAGCAAAATAACTTTATTGATATTTAAAAATTTTTTGTTTAATAAAAAGTACTCTTTTCAATCAACTAGATATCTTTTATTCGCTTTTAGAGTGAAATAAATATTATTACATGATTCAGCAAAATTTTAATTTAGGTCTCTAATCAATAAAACTACGAATTCTTCAATAAAAATTGAATAAAATGCTTCTCAATAAAAAGGCAGAACCTAGTTATTGCTGAAAAAAAAGAAAAAACAAAAATGAGTCCAAAGTAAAATCAAGTATAACAGTAGTACCTCAAATTGCTACGCTTTCAGAATTTAACACATCAGTTAAGCCTAAAGTGGTCCTTTAATGAAAAAAAAGCTATTGTTTTTAATATTCAATAAAAGAATGATTAAAGGTCTTTATACTTCAAGGTCTAGTTCTTCACATTCTCCTCCAAGTACCTAGTATATTTCTATTATTAGAAAACTCGGATAAAACTGTCTTATAATAACCTACCATTCATTAACCTTTAATTCATTGAGAAGTTCTAGATGTGAACATTATAAGAAAAAGGTAATAAAAATATTTGAAATGAGTGCTATTACAGGCAGGAATTTAATAGGAGATATTCATTGAAGGGAATAATTATTTCCGGGGTAAAGTTGCCGATGACATGTTCGATCTCTCAATTATGGTATATCCAGCATAGTGTTACGCAATGCATCGTCCAGCGATGATATCGGCGGGGATGAAGATTGGAGGATACCTAATTGCCTCTTGAAGCGTGGAAACGTGGCGTCGAAAGGAGATGGAGGAGTAAGGAGGGATTGGAGTGTAGGAAGATGAGAACAGAAAGAGGGAATATAGAGAGAAGAGAGAGCGAGAGAGGAAAAAGGGGGAAGGAGGGATTCCTTTAACTCCTCTCTTGTGCACAAGATCTGCGGTAGCCTGGAGCGTTGCCCAGGCAAGTCCGCTTCATCTCAATGTAGCCACTACCTTCTATTTCGTCTGCAGACAACCTCGTGCAACCCTTCTACATTTGTCTTCTCCCTTCACTCAATGACCTCGATATTCGCCATCGCCCCGAGGTGTCATTATTTTCCATTCGCGGCAGAAATCCTTTTTTTAAATTTTAAATCCCCATTTATATGTCAATCACTTGGTCAAAAGACGTACGTAACTGGAGGATAACGTTACGTAAACATGCTCTAATTACCCAAGTCAAAACTTTCCTGGCATTTCTAGATTTAATTAAGGTGCTAGAGAGACAGAGATTAGTGACGTGAGAAAAATACTTTAATATTACGTCATCTAGACTTTGAGAAAAATATCATTTGTGCTTTAGAAATATTCTCCATATTTTTTTTCCTCTTTTCTACTTCATTTATTTAGTTTTTTATAGCAACTGCTTTTTTAGTGATTTTTCATCGAACTTTCAAAGAAAAGATGGTATATGGGTTGAAGATGAAATTTTAATACAGACTTTTAAAACTGAATAAATTATGATACCGAACTCCCTTTTTGATATTGAAGATAGAAAAAAGTGGATTCGTTATTATTAATAATAAATGAATGCATTTTTCTGTGAGTGCATTTTAAAATTTTTCTATTAACAAATATTGAAAAATTGAAAGAGAATAAGAAAAATTGTTGAATAATTTTTTTTTGAAATTATTATTTTCAAACTATTTTTCAATATTTTAATAATTAGATAAAATCCTCTATACATTACATGCATTCATTAATCTATATTTACGTCTATTGTTCTAATTATAAGTTGACAATTTCAGAACAAATAAAATAGAAAAGTTTTATTTAGTAATTTAAATTTTGACAAATAATTTATAATAACTTTTCATCATTACTTACAAAGAAAAAAAAATTCAAAATAATTTACAAACAAATGAAATGAATATATTATTCAAGCTGAATGAAAATGAGGAAAAAAACTCATCTCTTAGTTTGCTTAACTGGTCAGTATCATGAGATTGCCTTGATTCTATTCCAACTCCCAAGGGAACTTTAATTATCCCAAAAGATAATAAAAAAAAGGTTCAGTATATTTAGTGGTGATGGATATTCCAGGTGCATAGCAATACCACTAACTGATGTTTCTCCTCCTTTAGTCTGCATTACAGCCTATATCCAACAAAATTTTATGTATGTACTCGTCTGGTAATCCTCAGCAAACGTAGTACGTAACATTGTAGGTATACGGACGGGTTGTGAAAGCTCTCAGCGGTTTGCCAAGTAACCCATATATGCAACCCTCAAATACCATTTCAAAGCTGCTTCTCTTCTTCTCCCTCATTTTTTTTTTGTGCACACAGAATACAGTAATCGAGAAGTCGCAGCAGTTCGGGAAGCAGCAATGCGTTTTTACGACACAAGGATTACCAAAGAATAGGGAGAGAAAGAAGATGAAAAATATAAGAAGGAAGCAAAAAAGAGATAGATACCTTCTTTTCTCTGTCGTTTCTCTAAATGGAATTTTCCGAGTATCTTTTTTTCCCTTCACTCTTTCTATCTTTTCTGCACTCTGCTGCTTACATATACACCGTTGAATCGTAGCGTCTCCCTTTCTCCCGGGTTTCCCGGAGCTGCGCGATTATCGAACACCCACTCAGCCTCCTTTTTAGTCTCAAAGTGTGAGCAAGCAGCAAGGGAAAATCCCCAGTAATTGTCAGGCCTCTGTCAATTGGGCCAATCGAGATTGTTCCCACAATCCTTGTACCAAAATATATAGTGGATTGATCAATTGGGAATCGTATAATATACACGGATTAGGGGATACCACTTGCATGAATGAGATTACTGCAAGCGAGGGAACCCTCAAGAAGTGCATTGGATCTTCTCAAATAACCCAACTAATATGTAATCGATACTAAGAATTAATTTTATTGTTTTCCTCAATTAATAACATGAGATGATATTGGATCGTTATGAAAGTTCCTAGAGTATATTTGAGGAGGAAATGGGCTTGGAAAAATGAGACGAGAAATATAACAAGCAACATGGCAGCCATAAGTAGATGCTTTAAATGCCAAACACATGGCTTCCTGTACAATATATGTTTTCGCTATTTTAAGATTTACCTATCTAAGGTAAAATAAAATAAACTTTAGTTGAAGAGAGATTGATGGTATTAGTAGAGAATAAAATGATTGATTGATTCTTACCTCTTTTGGCAGTAGTGTCGGCACTGCTAATAAATCCAGGTACGGCAATCACGAGAACAAAAAGTCCACAGTATACCCAAAACATGTTTATGTCTTAACAACATTGTTCAATTCCATTTTACATAACGGTTGAAAATCACTGCCGACGCAAGGTGCACGTTGTCGTCTTTGAAATTCGGTATCGTAACAGTTGGAGTTGTAGGACTATCCGATATTGTTGCGTGACAAAAAGACGATCCACCCGTATTATAAAGAAATAGATACATTACAAGATTCGTTGATTGCATACTAGAATCGGTTAGTCCATGATAAAAAATGTCATTTACGTTTGTTTTCACCCGTTCGATAATGATGTATTAATGAATTTATTTCACTTGGGAATCTGTGGATCCAGAGTTTATTTATTATCACGTACACCGTCTTGGCATGATTATAAAATAATTCGTTTAGTTGCTGAATGACAGCGAGATACAGCCGAGTACCGGCACAAGTTACTCGATAAGTTCATCGAGATGAAAACGGAACAGCAGACTGTGACGTAGCGAGAGATGACGACAAGAAGAGTGTCCGAATCACGCTGCCATCTTCTTCCTCTCGTGCAAGTCTGGAGTATAAAAATATTTGCGGGGTTTTACCCCTCCCAAGAATTGTACCACCACCACTGAATCCTGAAGCGAAGGGTGGGATGCCAAAGAGAGGGCGATGCCTCAGCTAGGACCTACTCGTATATTATATCACCCTCCTTGCTTACCATCTCTCCATCAGTTGACGCTGTATTCATCCCTTCCATGAGTGAGATCGCGAACGAAAACCCCGCAAGCGCAAGTCACACTCGGGGCTCATCTAGTCCTTCCCTTACCTTCTCCATCCTCCTCTAATGCACACCCACCTCCCTTATCGATTCCTGCGCCACATTCTGTCCCATATCGTATACGTAATGCTTCTCGTTTCCCTTCATCCGTTGAATCAATAAAATCGCCCTCTGTCGCCCCAGGGAACTGCATCTATGCAAGAAGAGGGCACTGCAATCCTTCTCATGGACACTGTCAGCGTCCTCTTGTGTTTTTTCACATCAATTCTCCATCGTTATCTCTTCACAGGTTGCCTGATCAAGGCTCTGTTCTTTGTCATCTCTTAATACACATATCACATACGTACATCATCTGCATTTTTTTCCTTTCCTTTTGAACCATATTTATTTGAATATGCACTGAAAAAAATAATTCAAGGTTTATTATTTTTAATTGTCAAAGTTCTTTCTATGCCTGCAATACAACAGATGATTTTTTATCTTCATTTTGAGAGGATCATTGTTCAAAAGAGATTATTAATTAACTAAGAGTAAAAATAGTCATTTTTTTATCATTAAATTCTTCAATTCAGATGATGATCTGAATGTATTCAGAATTTTTATTTTAAATGGTGAATAAATTTTTCTTATTGTTATATTTTTCTCTTTATGAATCATTTTTATGTTTTCTTTTGTTAGATATGATAATAATAGAGTATAATTAATCATTTATTAAAAATTCTATTGTGATTTCATTCAAAGCTTACACTGTAATACTATACATAACAGGAGAAGGAAAGATAATATTGAAATAATTATCTACCTAACATGAGTTTTTGTATAAACAAGTATAAAACATTACTTTAGTTCAAATGACGTTAGAATTTATCATTATTTTATCTTAAATTATAATTAAATATTTTTGATAAAGTAATTTAAAAATGTTCTTTCCTATTAAAATTACTTTACTGAAAAAATATGAATAAAATTTAACAAAATAACTTGATCATTGTTAATTTTGAAATAGAAAATACATAAAAGATATATATTTGACTCTTCCAAACAATCTTATATAATACGTATGCATATTAATTAAACTAAATCGAATTTTCTTAATGTATATTTACAGTGAATAATTTATCATTCCCATCTAAACTTGGAATTATGAAAAAGTTATGTAATTTAAAGCTTAAATTGAAATCATTCATATAAATTAACTTTTGTTTATTAATTTTTTAGAGTTGAAATTAGTCTTTATGATTTCTTGAATTAATTTTAATTAATATTATTACACGATACAAAATGAAATTTGGTAAGAAATATTTATTTTTGTTTTACTATCAAAGTTATTATTCATGAAAAATATTATTTGATTAGTGATAAACAATGCAAATTAAAATTCAGAATAATTCAATAACCTGGCTGTTATTGGCTTTTAAGAGGAAATAAACGGTACTTCATTATTCATAACTTCACTTTTAGATTTTAAATATTTAAGCTTAAAATTTCCATCAATATTGATAAATAAAGCTTGCAACGATAATAAAGAAAAAAAGTTTGTTAAACGATATAGATAAATTTATTAAAAAATTAAAATAATGTCAAGATATTACACTTGAAAATCTGAATTATTATTTGATAAAAATACTTACCTGTTAATGACTAGAAAAAATGAAAGGCAAATAACAAAATTCAACTTTAAATTATTTAACAATTTTTTTTTGTTAAAAATGAATCATTTAGCTCAATATTGATTATCCTGCATAAAAAATTTTACCAATTATTCTCTTTTCTATCACTTGTTTTTATAAATATTTTTTTCAATAGAATTGAAAAACATTATCTGAACATCAGAAAAAAGCATAGCCTGCATGAAAAAATTCGTAATTTTTCTTAATTTGTGTCTACTTTTTCGTCTATACAAAAAGACGTAATATTTCATCATTTGTTTGCAGATCCAATGAATGAGCAGTCGTTGAAGGTATTTATTATTATTTCACAATTCCACATTTAAAATTAAACAAAAAAAAACAAATACATGTGAAAAATTAAATTTAAAAAAATACAATAGGACTTGATAAAAATATAAGAGAGCCGCGATGAACGTTCCTGCGTTTCATATTTATTTGACTTATTTTCATATATTACGTATATTAGGTACATTTCACTCGATATAATACCTAAACAATCTACAACCGCTTCATGCAAATCGAACGGTGTTGATTTTTTTTATTAACCGCAATATTTTCTTTTTCCAATACTCCGTATTTTCAATGCACCTTTCAAACTTTTTTAATTAACAATTTTTTATATTATAAATGAGTTGAAAAATGAATTAATTGAAATTACACAAAACTTCGTTCCAGGTTATTATTTTTACCCTGCATATCAACAAAATGTATAGTTACTCTTACCAATAAGATAATTAATTAATTTACATTAATTAATAATGATTAAATGTGATATTTAAAATGTTATAAAATGAAAGATAAACGTAAATAATTCAGTTAGCTTATAAATAGATATCGAGTGACGTGTGAGCAACGTTCGAAGAATCTTATATGACTATTTATAATATATTTATTAATTTTTTTTTTAATATTTCATTTATTTTTTCCCATCACTGCAAGGCTTATTGTAAAGCATTCTCCATTTTCCTGTAAATTAATCACCATTTTTAAACCTAGACTTATTAAGATTCATTAATAATGTTCATAGTTACTGATATTATTTATTATTAATTATCTAATTTTATAAATTCTTAATTGGCTAAGTCATTGAAAAAAACCGTCCCGCAAAAAATTGATTCATATCTCGCTCACCCGCGTTCGATATAAATATTTTTTTTAATAATATTTTGTTTTTTTTTTTATTATTGTTGTTATTGTTTATTCATAATAATCATTATCATTTATTATTATTTTTTCATTCATTTTTTATTATTACTATTAATTATTATACCTACCAACAAAATGCGCGAAGACAATGCATTATTAATTACACATGTTTTCGCGCAATTATGTGCGTGTCGCATCAGGAATAAGTTATAATTGAAATAAAAAAAAACATCCAATTAAATAATGTTTAGTCTCACATGAATTCACTTCAACAGTAACAAATAACCTCTTTTTTTTTGTAATTCGTTTAATTTAAAATCATAATTTATTATTTTATTTATTCTGTAATCATTTATTATCTTGCTTAGATAGACAATCTATTCTCTTTTCCATGCAGGTATAGAATTTTAGCAATGACAAATTTTAATTATGTACTTTTTTCTTCATTTCCACATGTACGTTTATGTTCCTTATCATAGTTTTGATGTACAGAGCTGACAATTAATTTATTGCTCAGCATGATTTGTTTTTACGCAGGTAAAAAAAATGAAAGACGTGTTATTAATTTATTTTCTTTGGTTTTCAATTAACTTCTTTTCTTATTTGGATTTCATTTAATCGGTCTATAGTTGCTTATTTGTCCATCCCTGTTCCAACTAGGAGACATTAGAGGGAGGAAACTACAAATTAATAAGTTGTTTTAGTCTTTTACATTGTTTTCTTTTTTGTTTTGTTTCACCCTACTTTATTTGTATCAAGATTTCACAGCAAGTAAATAAAATAATTCATTTTAGCGGTCAATTACTTTTTTTTTCAAAACATTGTTTTATTCAAATTATTTCTTTATCATTATATACTACAATCTTCTCTTTACAATAGTAAATTAATTAATAAAAAATAAATAAGCTGTGAAATCTTTACATTCTTGCAACTATCCTTCAAATAAACTCATTTACAAAATGACATAACAATGATGAGATATTCTTTAGTAAAAAAAGCATAAAGTTATTTGGCACTAATAATACGTGGAATTTTTTTTTTGTTGTTTTATATAATATATTTATAAATAATAATTCAACGTGCGATTGTTGCATTAGTTTACTTTAGCACTCATACGTTTAATTCATTCAACATTCATTCTTCCACTTTGATTTACTCAAACATACACGACGATTGTTCTTAATTCTTTTTTGTTTCTATATTCACGTATATAATTTATTGAATAGCTCCATTCTGTCATTTTTTTATCATTGTGTCATTAATTTTTGAGTAATCATTGCTAACGAACTTATAGACGAATGACAGTGAATTGCTACTGGGTATATGAGTATATACTTAGAATAGAAATATATTAAAATTGCAAATTCATACGTTGCAGTTGTGGGTCGCGAAAGCTCTTCGAGCACGCCACGGACATTCCCGAGCATTACTATTTCATTTCATTTCATTAATCTTCATTACATTCTTTTAACGTTTCGAATATATTAAATACTCGAATTATCTATATTATTTATAATAATTAGAGAGTAATCGAACAGGATTTTACATATCAATTAACACACTGGCAACTAAACAAAGCTTAAAATTTTTTTTAACTAAATACTTGAAACTTTGTATAATCTTTTATTAACATCAACATTGATCAAGTCTATTATTTTTCAAGTTAACGTTTTGTAAATTCTGTGTCTTTAGTTCGAAACATCTGTATTATATTTAAAAAATTTTTTTTTATTTCCAGTCTTTAGACGTTAATTAGATGTTATAAATTACCAATTGAAGTAAATACACCGAGGAAAATATATTTGAGTTTTATTGATAGTTTTTAGAGGCTTAACAGTAGAGATAAACAATTAATTTTATCATCTGAGCCTCGCATTTTCTATTTATTTATATTTCAATATATAAATTTATATAGAAAAATTATCAATACTTTATTTGAAAAATGATTGGTTGATAAAAAAACATTGATTTTATACTTTCTATTTATAAATTTTAACGAGATACTTTTTATAATTAATAATATATTCATTTTTAATAAAAACAAATTTATAGAGGAACTTGTTTTTAACAATAGTTGAATATTCTAACAATATACTTGAATTAATTGTAATTTTTTTAAAATAAATAATTATGTATAGATATTTAGAAATGTTTGATTTTTTATTCAGATGCTGATAATCATATTTACGTAAAAAAAAATAATTTATAAAAGTAGTTTATAAGTGTAATTCTTTCCTCAGTGTATTCGAAAAATACTTAAATTAAAAACTATAATGAAGCATTTGAATAACAACGAAAAATCTTAACAATGAGTGAGCGAATATTCAATGAATTGTCTATAGTATATAATTGAGTGTCATCTTTTCTCTTTTACCATCTTCAAGTTATTAATTATTCATTCAAACAATTCAACTATGTATTTTTTAAATGTTATTTTTAAATTGGTTTACGATAGGGCAGTGTCGTGGACGGTTACGGAGAGCATCCGTATCCCAAAATTTTTCCTACAAGTATACATACTAATTCAATAATAAGTACATGTTCAACAACCGTCTTTAGATCTAAGTTTATAGTTATTATATTATTTCATTATGATGTATTATTTTCATAGTTTGTCCACTGCAATCGGACATGCCTTAAAAAAATTTTTTTTTTTTCATTATCATCGACGTCTTTTTGTTTGTTTACACTAAAAATTTACTCTATTGAGTTTGTCAGTCGTTTGAGTCGAAAAATGAATAGATGTCTGCATTGATGATAGTCAAACAAAAACAAATTTGCAAAAAATGAAGATTACAGTTATCGAAAATGGTAGAATTAAAGTCGATCCTCTTCTTCTTCTTCATTATCCTCATTATTCTCTTCAGATTCTTCTTTGTATCCCGGATGTTCGCTAATTGCATAATAATTGCCATTATAAATGACACCAAGTTCCCTTAAAACATCGCCTCTGATGATCGCTTTGATCGTCCAATTGTAACATTCTTCACTTTCGCTTTCACGATCTAATCTCTCAACGTCCAGAATTTTTGAGCTCAACCTCTCTAAGATAATCCCAATGTCTTTGATACTGAGATGATGCTTCTGGTCTACTGTTAGCTGATCAATAAGAAGTAAAAATTTTTCTGATGTTACAATTTCATCCTCCATAATAGTATTTTCTGTTTCTGATTCTGAGCTATCGTGCTCTTGATGATGATTATGGTGATGATGATGGTGATGATGCATATGGAAGCCAGAGTTTCTTGGAGATGATTCTTCATCAGTGGTATCACGAAATCTAACGTGTCCCTTAACAATACCAGGACGTCGGGTGCCATCTGACAAAGACGAAGGTGGTTGAGGTGAAGGTGTTTGCGCCTGGGATTGTTGTTGATGTTGATCCCGTTGCTGTGCCGCATGTTGGTCTTGTATTGGTGATGTTGCGACAGATTTATGCACAGCAATTCTTCGTCCTTCCTCGTGAAGTGCACAACAATGGAAATCGCATTCACTGATATTATTACCGTCAGCACCATTGACTGGACTGCCGTTTCTTGCAACTGGTTGATGAATACGATTTGAGCACTCAGGTGTATGGATATGAATAGTGGTACTATCAAATGAATTAGTACCTTGCTTGACGAGGCGACCAGTCATACCAGAATGATGAGAACCAGGTCCTGAGCCAGAGGCAACAATCGGCCCATAGGAACTATTATTATTCGGACTAGTAAAACTCTTTTGCACCATATCATCATGATTTATCACAGTGATTTGAGGGCTACTGTATCGCGGCGGAAGAAGCTCGGCCACGTGGCCCGACTTATCGTAACTGAGCTTATCTAAACTCGTTTGAATAACAAGAGATGGCCGCTGACCAGGTCCACTGAGATCAGCCTTTTTTGTTGGCGAGTATTTGGAGCTCGTTGGGTCTGATGACTTTGATTGCTGTTGTTGCTGCTGCTGAGCTGTGGAAGACGATGAGGACGAGCGCTGGTCCCAATGAAGCACCACGGTAACACGTCCTTTGTTGTCCATGATTTTCCACGAAGGCGTTTCATCATGTAACTCCAATGCATGTATAGTCTCGCATACTATTTTTGGAATGGCTGAAATGGCTGTGGAAGATAAATACGGATTTAAAGAGTTGTCCCATTTAGTCCCGTCTTGTTGATACAAACTCGCCATTGTACCTGCGCGAATAATGTCGACGCCTGTTGGACACCAGCGCTCGCCATGCCTCAGCAGCAGCAGGATTGTGTTATTAGCAAGAGTCTTAAAGTACTCGCCGTCTTCTACCTGAGTCCCGTCTGACTCTAACACCAGTGACACGTTTTCATTCTGCGGCACGCCCAATTTCTCCTTTCCTGAAATCCATTTAACACAAACTTATTCAACTGTTTTTAATCTTCATTTATAAATATGTATATATGTATACACAACATCACTACATAAAGCTTGTTATTTGATAAATCTTACCTCGATGTACGAGCTCCTCAAAGTTACTTACAACTAGACCCTTTCTCACGTTACGCCAGCTGTCCCATATCTTGAAAGGTCTCTTGTTCCGTAACTCCTGTAATCAATCCAATAATTTTCTTTGTACAAAATTGACTCGAGATATTGCCACTCAAGAGTGTTTGTTAAAAAAAATTATAAAAGAAACAAATTGATCATCAACAACTCAAGTATGTAGATACATGTAATGAGTTTGTCTTCTGATGATAACCTTTATTGGAATAATTCATCACGTGCAGGATATTCCTGCAATGTCAGTAGATAATCGGCTGAATGTTAAATGGAGTGTCCATAGCGGGTCAACGGAAAGTTAATTTACCCTACATCCATACTCTTTTTATCGTTTTTTCTTTCCCACCCCACTATACCCTCTTGTTGTCGATGGTCATGTAGATGTGTGTATATAAATATATACAAACGCGTGTATATTACGTATATATACTCGAGAGTTATAAATATATACGTTTAATGATTATATAGACTGACGTACAGCAAGCATGCAGGTATTGCTCGGTCAAATGTATTCAGCACAATTCACAATGACTGTCAAGCGACACATGATCTATATTTTGAGTAAAAATAATTCCAAGGTAATAATATGTATGTAAAGAGAATATGAAATTTTATTAAAATAAAACAGTTGAGAGTGATAGAGTAAAGGCGTCGTCGACGGGTGGGAAAGAAAACGGCGTCCAAGTGGCAGGTTCTCGGATGGGTGGAATGCGTTATCGAACGAGAAACGAGAGAAGCGGTTACGTACTACGAACATTCTTGTCCTTTTTAATACTAGTCACAAGCTACTAAGTTACATGCTTTAACCATCACAATCTCCATATCAATTCTTACATCCCTTTTGTTCATCAACAGTAAGACTTATATCATCATACACTCATCCTCCAGGTATGGATGGCTTTTTCGATATAGTAAAAATAATGATAAACACCAAGACGAAAGGTACAGAAGGTCATTGAACAGTTGATTGAAATAAATATGTGGATGATGAAAAAAAGAAATTTTAAAGGGAGCTAGGAAAAAGAGGTGGAGGTGTAACACGGGGGTGGTACGAGATGGAGGATTAGGGTGAAATTATGTTTGGGTCGTTCCGCGTTTTCAACAGGGTGGCGTTGGACCATCAAGGCGCAGACGCTGACGCAACTTATGGTCGACAACACTGACCTGATTCAATCATTTTTGAAAGGAACGCTTGGAAAATTACCGTATCGCCAGGATGAGGTGGTAAGAGGGGGCAAATACTAGCATGCACTAAGAGGACAGTCGACACTGCATGCCATACATGACAATCTAAATACTTGATGACTAATTTGGTAAAAAATGCCAGAGATTAACTACAAGAGACAAAAGCAAACAATTATACATGTTTAATGATCAAATAGGATTTATTAAAATAGTTAAGTAAATGTACTTTGTAAGATTGTGATTCGTACATATACGTATGGATAAAAAAAAGTATCGATTGACTAAAAGAGTAGGACTTGCCAAAAAGGTAAAAGGCGCCCACTGCCCAGATTTAGAGTAATGAAAAACTCGAAGGAGGAGCTCACCTCCCGTGTCATTTTATTTTTCATTGGGATTACTTGGCGAAAAAAACTTAAAAGTGGAGTAAAAAAAAAAGGTCGAAGGCCGAAGGAGATTGCCGTAACCAATATCCTAGGGCCTAGACCGGTCTTGCCCCATTATCCGTGCTTACCCTCGTTGCACGTTCAATCAGGGAACTCGAACGACCGCCGTGTCACGGGGTCATCTACCAGGCAAGGGAAACTGGGTCACGTCAGTTATTTAGGACAGGGAAGGTTTTCCGACACATATTTTATACTCTCTTTTCCGATCAAATCGTAACCACACAAATATACAAAACAAAATGGTTTTTTGGATGACGTTACATGTTCATGCTCACAATTTACCTCTCTTGCCATTACGTCATATCCTAGCAGATCTAGGGACCGTCCCACTTGGCACTTATTATTATAAAATGAATGCGGCACGACGTCGCATTATTATGATTGTATGTTGTTTGAAGCTCTTCTACTACCACCACTAGCACTAGCAGTAGCAGCAGCAGTAGTAGCTTCGGGTGGTGTAATGAATTGAGACCAGCTACTAGAGCAGGTTCTTTGCCTACTACTACGAGACACGAGACCGACGCCGGCGGCGCCGCCAAGACGCACCGCAACACACCACCACTATAACGTACACCAACTTTTTAAAAGTACACCAGTTCCGAGTTTACTACCAGTCTGCCCTAAACACTCATTTAAACAATTCCAACATATTGACAAGCCTTTTAATTTTGTCCTGTTGTAACACTTTCCTATACTCTCTTCTTCTCGGACTGTTCCTCTCCAACTTTCTCCTACACTTGCTCTTCTGCGACACGACCTGCCCCGCCGACGGACGCGCGTCGTGTGCGCGACCAATCGACGCCAGCACCACCTTCGGACAGTCGTTTTAATGATGCTGCCACCTCTTCAGGCATATGCTTCTCAAAGGATGAATCCACGCCCGTCAACCAGAGATACAACAATACAACACTTGTCACCCCTTTTTTTTGCAGGTTATGTCGATCCACAAATTAAATTAACATCACTCTGGTTTTTTAACATGTTTAATGTCTGCTGACCACAATGACAAGTATTGACATGAGACATTGTCTTTCCAAACTTGCCCTTTTCTAGTTTGATGATTACTTTCTTCTATTTACGTACTATTCATATCTGTAGTCTTGGATTTCTGAATATTAATTCTTGATGAGTGTCACTTATATCTTGGTGATTATTTTTTTTGCTCTTTTACAGTTTTCTCCCTTTCTTAAATTTCGAGAAATGGCAGCAGTCTTACTGCGACGAATCCGCAGTTTCTCTAGATCGATCCTCTGAGCGGTGGACGCATCGTGTGGTGTTCTCCGAAAGTAGACTATCCTACTCAATGCTACGTTTCTTCATCTATTCCTCTCTCTCACTTAGCACATGTAGAAATGTGAGAATATCAAGCTGAGAGGGTTGAAGTCCAGAGATGAATCTCAGGGGTTGAAAACTAGCAACACTCGCGCCTCTATGTACATTAATAGAACATGAACATAGAGAGAGTTCTCTAGAAGTTGCTGCTTGATTATGTATCATATTCCGTCGGATGGATTCTGCATTTTCAATTCTATATTTTTATTGGTACACAAACAGTGTGCGCCGAAAATTACTATTGATAACGATTTGAATATAAACTATGATATATTTATTCATTGTTGATGCAATGATGGGAGAAAATTAAATTAATTACTTTTGTTACTTTATAAAACTCTTTTTTTTTTAGAACAAATAGTTTTTTGAACTCAAGGAATAATGTTAACAATACAAAATCCATTTGTGTTGACGGTTATTTGAGATTTTCAAATTTAAACATATTTCCCTCTTGTGTATTTATTTAAAAACTTACTGACTGTCGGTAAATGTATTCGACTCAATCAAAATCGTCTGCGGCAGCAGTAGTTCATTTCCGAACGTTTTTGTTTACATCTGTTCTAACCTATAAACGCATTGATCGCATTGACAAACAATCAAAAGTAATAATAAACAAATTATTAATATAAATTGTTTTTTTTTTAAATTTTATTATCGGTAGTAAATTTATTAATTTTATTCATTTTTACAGATGGGTAAAAAACGATCTCTACAAAGTTCTTCAACCAATCGAATCAAAGTTGAAGTCAAAGATGAAATTAGTAATATCATTTTTATTATCACTTTTCTTTTTAATAATAATTATAAAACTTTTATTCATATATTTTATTCTATATTTTTAGTGGATAATGAGGTTTCAGTTGCTCGTGATCGTCTGAAAGGAGCACTTAGAGAACTTTTGAGGCAAAGTGATGAGGGTTCATCAGCAGATTCTGGAGAAGATAGTTCTCACGATTCTAAACAACAACCGAAAAAAACGTAAGTAAACGTTTAATAAATGATTTTATATCATATCTTTGTCAGTTAATATACCGCCATTAATCAAATTGCTCTAAATAGATTTTTTTAAATTCAAATAATATTATCATAACTTCTTAATTTTAGGTCTAAACCGATTGTACCACCTCCAAGAAAGATCCGACGTCGTAAACAATTGCCCGCAGATCAATTGTTTCATCACACCTATGTAATGAAACTGTTCGATCGAAGTGTAGATTTAGCACAGTTTCGTGAAGACACGCCTCTCTATCCAATCTGTCGAGCGTGGCTAGCCAATCAACCCAGAAATCCTAATCTAGTACCGAAAATTCGGACTCCTAGTCCCGAAATAGTCAATGAAGTTCATACTGATAACATGCTCGAAGATTCTAGTGGAGAATTGAGAGACGTTTATTGCCTTCCAACACCTTTACCACGGGAAGAAGTTTTCCCACGGAATAGAATCCCATCACCAATTCCACAACCGAAAGATAAGCTTGATCTTAACTATGTAAGTACGGCAATGTTTTATTATAAAATTTAATAGGACTTAATTAAAATATTATCACAGGAAGGACAAGTTTTGAAATCTCGAGATGCTTTGATGAAGAGCCACAGAGCACATTGGTCAGCAGTACGTCGTAAGTGGCATCTACAAGCACAAAAAAATGAGAAACGGTTTTATCAAAGTGCAAATATTTTAAGTACCATATTTAAAAGGTTTGTATTTCATTCTCTTACCGAACTTTCTTATTCTTGAAAAATATCCAAATTTAATTTAAAATTATTTTGTAGGGCTCAGACAGAGTTTGAATAGGATTAATTGATTATCTTCAGAATAACGTTGATAAATAACTTATTAATATTCTCAAGTTGTATATCTCACTAAAATACTTTCAATTAATTGACAATATTTATAAAATATAATTAAATAAATTACAATCTTTGAAATAAAGAGTTTTAATCATTTAAAATCAGTTATTGACATTGCAGTAACTTATATTAATGTACTTTCAATTTATTAGAATGCACATATAGATGTCATTTTGCTTTGAAGCACTGAAATTATTAAGAATTTTGCTTTCATTTTCTATTACGGATACTTCATCCTCCATTTATATAAAATGTTTGAGAAATGAATAGTCATTTTATTTTCCTAAACTACTTATTTTATGTCGATACTTTTGATTGACCTGGTATAATAAGTTCACACTAGATTGGTAATATAAAACAGTGTTTAAGATTTTTTTTTCTCGTGATGCGTTTTTATATATGCATCGAAAAAATCAGTTTGACGTCCAGGAAAAAAGTTTTAAAATTTCACTTCTCCGTAAGTGAAAGCTCCAGTACTTGTCGTAGAGTTTCTTCTTCAAGTAATCGTTGCTGCTCTTCTTCTAATAAATGCTGCTTTGAGAGTCTCAATGCCAAAGCTATTTGTTCAGCCCAATCATCGAATCCATCATTATTTGGTGGTTCACTATTTTTTTTATGATCCGTCATAGCTTCCATCATTAAACTACATAACTCCAGATTCTCTTGAAGTCTCCTAAATAAATAAATTATAAATACTAATCCCTGAATAATTTTTTTCTGTGAAATGTATTTGGCGAAGAAAACTGAATTTTTAATGAGAAAAAAGAAAAAATGAACATAACCACGACCCACCTGGCTGAATATGTAAAATTTGAAAGAAACCATGCAAAAGTAAAACAAACGGCAAAATTTTTATTGAAGACATGTAAAAAAAAAATGTAACTACGCAAGAAAAATGATTTACCTTTGATTTTCTCTCTCTTCTTCCGTCATATTTGGTGTAGTTGGACGCGAAGGCTTTTGTGCTCTCAAGGCCTCCCATATATCAACTTCATCTTTTTCACTACCAGCTTCTAAAAGACTTTGTTGGATAGCAAATTGTAGCAAGTCGTCTTCTTCTTCAATACTGAACTGTGTTCGGTCGAGTGTACCAAGTCTTGAGTAACCAAGTGGTGCTTCAAAACAAATATCGTCAACAACACACGTAACTCGGTTTCCTTCATTAATTCTTTGTACGTGAGGTACATCTTGGTCCAGTCCAAATATATTTCCGAATGTTATTCTTGCATTGAGTACATGGAAAAGTGGAATTTCTGTAAGACGAGAATTCATCCTTTTAGTTTTGTTTTTTAATTTTAATTTAAAAGTGGTTAATTATATTTTAAAAAATTCATTTGAAATAAAAGAAATTACCTATTTTGACTGGGAAACCGGAAGGCAGTAGCATTTGAATAAAGTTTTTAAGTTTAGCAAAATGTGTACTAGAGATAGCCATTAGATCGACAATAGGCATGATTTGTTCTTGAAGACTTAGAGGATATTCTTCCGAAAGCCATAAAGTTGCACGGAATTTTTGAATTTTTGTATTAACTTCTTTTGGTCTACCAATGTCACGGCCATTAAGGTTTACATCGGCATCAAAGTACTCTTCAGGAGTAATATTTGATGGATTCCCAACATTACTAAACTCTTGCTAAATATAATAGAGTAACAAAAAATGTATCAATCAACTATTGATTAATTAAAAATAATTTTAAAAACTACTAGACTTAAAATAGATTATGGTTTCTTATTACTCACACTACATGTAGCACCACAAGCTTCTTCTTGTTGTTGTTCCGCAATTCCTAAAAATGATTGAAGTGGTGTACGAGGTGTTCTAGCACGTAGTTTATCTGCTTCAGACAAATGTTCAATTCTAGTTTTTGTTATCAATTCTACATTACTAGCACTGAAAACTTTGCATTCATGGCCATTGACTACTTCACACTTATCTGACCTCCAGCCCCAAATACCAGCTTTGTTTCTTTCAAAGCTTATTTTGTCCGTATCAACATAGGTTGTGACAATTGGATTGGAAAGTCTGGCCATTATTGCTTTTTCTGATGGAGCCATTAACTGAACATTTCCGTCTTCAATTAGTTTCATATGATCTACATACACTTCGCGGGTTTCGTGATCTACTTCCATCATTGTTGCACCATCATCTAAAAACAAACATTATTTTTATTTATTTTAATAAAGATTACTAATTTAGTCATCATTTCTTTTGAAATAAATGGAACGAAACTACTGTGTTTTAAAACCATAAAATTGAATTCAATATTACTTGCTAATTTTTTTCAAATAGAAAATTATTTTTTCTTAAAAATAACTTTTTTAACTATGATTAGTTTATATTAGCATGTTACAATGAGTAATGTTTATAGTTACGTGTTGCAAACTAATATTTTAGCAATTATTGCAAATAGAACGATCCCATCTTATGCATATATAGGTACTATTATTAATAGCAAACTCATTTATTCTTTATAACTAAAAAAAAAAATCATTCTGATGCCTAAATAGTTGTAACGCAAAAGCTTACACTATTTTGAATCGAATAAAATATTGATATGTGCTAGTAATTATGACTAAGCCTATAGCATCATCATACAACAGTAATAATTTTTAATGACATTACTTGAATATTTGAACACTAAAGTCATCTTTGGTTTACTTAATCCGAATAAAAACATCCAAAGGCTAAAAATAAAGCTGCATTCTTATTAATAATAGAATAAAATAACTGCCTGATACATAAAATGATCACCTGCAGTTTCACCAACCATGCGCCAAACATAACTGCGATCACACTTGACAGTTATAGGAGGTGTATTTTGCGTATCTTCCATTCAATTCAATTAAGTAAGCAAACAAAATAATAAGAGAAAAAACAAGAATAAAACCAGGAAGAAAAGAGACTTAGAGAATAAAAATGGAAAGAATAAAATTCAAATGACCACATAAAAATTTCAAACAATTAATCAAAATTAAATAAATACTTCTTACTTACTTTGACCTTTGAATATATAACTAAGATTGCCCCTTTGCCAACTAGCTTGATCAAACCCTAATAGGGTTGTATCAATTCTAACATTACTTCCTTGTTTGTAGACTTTGTATGTATCACTTGGACACATTCGTGATGCCAAAGGAACTAGAAATTGATTAATAGTTAATAAGAAATGTTTTAACACAGTATTATACTTAGTAACATGAATTTTTTTAAAAATTACCCCAACTAGTAAACTCCCATTTCATTTCTACATAAAAATCTGGTGCTTGTTTTAATTTATGAAGTAATTCAGGAATACCATCAACACGATTGCAATATCTTTGGTAATCTCGACGAGTTAAAACCATTTCGAGTATTTCAGCGTTACCAGTCCCCGCTGCTTCTTGGACCACTGGAATTTTTCATTATAAATATCAATATTATTCTATTTAAATTTCTGACACCGAGTCAGGAAAAATTCTAAGAATATTAATTAAATTTATTTACCGCTCCATCCCTGTGTATTTTCTGCATAAACATTAGCTTCGTGGTGAAGAAGGATTTCTACAGATTCTTTATGACCCAGTGTTACCGCCAACATAAGAGGAGTTCTTCCTCTACAGTCCTGTTTTTCTTTGTCATGCTAGAATAAGTAAACAATAAGAATTATTGATAAGTCAAATTTTAATAAAATAATGGACTGACAAGTTAATATTGAATGCGGCATACATATCCTCTTTAACATAGAAAAAAATATATTATATTTAATGCTAAGCAGAACACTTAAATTACAATTCAAGTTTTGTGGCTTCGTCTCTACGTTATGTGTGGCTTCCGAATCCTAGTCCTAGTTATTTAAAAAAAAAAATAAAACAATTTTCGATCAAATATGACTAATTAATATATGTTATTCTTCTACCTATATCACCATGCCATTTTTATATTGTATCAATACTCGATGAAAATAATAATAATAACACGATGTAATCATCGTTTGTTATTTAGAACCAACTGATCTAAAAATAAACGATATAAGGCGGTAAAATAATGACTTGTCAAACAGGTTAAATTAATTGATTAAACGTATTCAGTTATTACAAATTTTACTTGTAGAAAATAAAATTTTTCAAGAATCTATTAATGGTATATGTATTATAAATGTAAACAAGATGATGAGGTGAATTGAAGGTTAATAATATCGAAGCAAATATTATTAAGATAAGGAATTCACCTGATTGCTTGACAAAGTTCTGTCAAGTTCGAGATAATCATTGTTCCACACCAGCCAGTGTAAAGGATAAATCTCTTTTATTTTATCAATGTGCACCATTTCTGTAAAATTATTTCCAGAAGTTTGCTCACTCAGTAACAATTGCGTTGTTGATTATTTTTATTATTCTTATAAATATTTGTATTAATGTTATTATCCGATGTTACAATTAAAATAATGTAACAACATATGTATCGGTGTTGAAAGTATGTTAAAAAGTTTCACAGTTGAATATAAGACACAAAAATGTCAAACAATAATTAAAATTTATCATACTAAATTTGATGTACATACTTGAATTGACTGTATATCACTTTTTGCTGCTTTATGATTGCTTGTCACGAGGAAGTATAAGAGTGGCGTAATATCTAAGCCTACTCGATAAAAAACTTACATGAAGAGCAATTCGTACTGTGGTTCACTTTGACTACGGTCACGCCATATGTCATCAGTGTATGTATGTGAGCTGGTATGAAAATTGTCTTTGTATGGATTTCGATAACAGACCAATATTTGAATTATAGTAGATTAAAAAATAATATAAGTTATTTGAGTAATTTAATGTAATGTTTGTAAAATAGTAAACTGTTTAATTTAATCAAAAATTAAAGCAATTGAGACTGATATGAATGTTTGGAGGTTATATTAAAAGAGTAATGTAAACTTATGGTGTACATTACTGAAAAAACAAGTGGCAATTGATTTGTTTTATTCTATAAATTTATTAGTTTTCTGTAATTTGTTATGAATTTTTCATGCCTGAATGTAAGTTGGAGTAAAGTTGATCTTTTTTGGAGTAAAAAAAGTTTGTTTTTTATTGATAAAATAATTGTTATTAAATTTATTCTTTACAAAGATACAATTGCTTACAAACATTTTGAAAATTAATAAAAATCAAAAACACGTCTTCAAAAATTGGAAAACCCCTAAAAAATAATTTATAATAATATCAACTTCAATTGTTCATAACTTACTCCAAAATTAACATAATAATAAAATCAATATATTGTGGAGGATTTTTTTAATGGATTTAACAGTAATGTTAGAAAAAATAGCATCAGCTGTCAAGTGTAAATTAATTGTCTAAATCTAAAGAAAAGTGTTTATTTTCCGACTTCAAATTTGACAAGTTAGGTTAGGTCTTTAATCATATGTGCCGGCGTTCCTCACACTGACAATGAATCATCATGTGTGGATACATTTCAAGCATACACATACATATATATAAATATAAATGCGTTGACGGCGTAGATCTAGCATAAGATCAAAAACACCGTAAAAACGGACTTATGAACAGTCGAAAAACAAGTGACAGATCGGTGTGGATAAAATCACGGCAAAATCATTTGCTGATCACTTGACGTCACTGATTAGACCGCCAAGATGGTTGTCAATGTTGATAAGTGGTTTGATTACTTGTAATATCGAGCGATAAAACAATCGCAAAGACGGGAACCCCTTATTACGGGTGTACATAATAATGTCAATAAAGTAAGTAGAAGTGCAAAGTTGCCTGAATTAAGGCCAGGCAAGCTGACGATGGCGGACAGTGAGGATGTGGAAATTCGTCGAGCATTATATGTTGTTCAATCTATGATTGACATCTCGGCTGAAAGGCTTGAAGGTCTTAGAACGAAATGCTCTACAAGTGCAGAGCTTACCCAACAAGAAATTCGCACTTTAGAGGTCAGTTCTTCCTTATTTATGAAATATCTCTATTTCTAGCGATGACTTTGATTATTTTATCATAATTATTTATTTTTCTATCAGGGTAAACTCATCAAGCTCTATTCCAAACAACTGGTAACCAAGGCCAAACTCGCAGTGGATTCGCTTCCTCCTGAAATGCGACAATATCCTTCATTACCTCAATGGCTACGTGTTGTAGGACTTACTCCAGAATCTATTCGTGTAAATATATAAATTTACATTGACATTATTATCCCCGCTTTTTTAGATCAATCCATGAGTTGGACTCGAATAATTATAAATATTCATGAGTGATGATTAAGTACCCTATAAATTTAATATAATCATTTGTTTTAGATTGTTTGCGCCAAAGCTCATACTTTAGAGGCATTAAAAGAAAAATCAGAACGAGAATTGAGCAGTATATTGGATGAAAATAATTCTCGACATGAAGAAGAACTTCGAAGATTGTGTCGAGCATTACACAATCTTCGACGCTACATAGACGTTCTTTTACAAGGTGATAAAGATAATAGTGAAATGAATTTATATTGGGATTCTTGGGATAGGCATCATCTTCGAAGTGGTCCTTCACCACGTCTTTTACGTTCACGAAATGCTCGCAGCTCTGTGCCATCTGAAGATAGTATTTCCATTTATCATCACAATAACAACTATAGTAGTCATAATATCAGTAATAATAATAACAATGGTAATCGCAATCACAATAATATCAATAACAACGACGTCAATAGAGAAATATTAGGTTCAGCTTCTTCAACAAATTGTATATCTAGTAGTCCACCTTCTACGCCAATACTTACCAAGCAAATAAAAGCTTCAGTTAAATTTCCAACGACACCACCACCAAATAAAAAACATCAAACTGGTCTACAAACCTCTGGATCTCAACCAGAAGTTTTCCCACTCACTAAGTCAAAGTCTCACGAATCTCAATTGGCCACTAGACTGGAAAATGGCGACACTAACTCAAGTTGTAGCAGTGGAATTGATTATCAAAGACGTATGCGTTTACCAGGAGAGTCAGGATCTAGCAGTAGTGCTAACATAACTAGTGATAGTTTGATCAGTTCAAATAGTCCATTAAAGTCACCACCGTACTCAAGTGCTGAAAGTGATGATAGTGGTTATAAAGGCACAGTGACGAGTCTTCAAGTGCCAAAATCACCTAGGACACCAACAGTATCTCGTGGTATGGGTCATATTATTGCTCATCGATTTACTAAAACCTTCAAAATGATGACAACGTGTGATTATTGCGATAAACAGATGTTCATGGGACTTAAATGTAAAGAGTGCAAATATAAATGTCACAGAGATTGTGAATCTAAAGTTCCACCTTCTTGTGGTTTACCTCAGGAGCTGATTGACGAATTCAAAAGAACGTTAGTGGCTGAAGGATTGGCAAATGCGTCACCAATTCTCAACAAGTCTGGTATCGTATCACCAAATCATCATTCATCGAATATTCCAAGCCTGAATAACCGAAGAGACCGCAAGCAATCACACCCACACGTTTCACGCACTCACATGCTGACTGATAACCCGCCTTTCGCAGGTGCTGAATCCAGTTCAAATACCTCAAGCTGTAACAGCTCGACTCCTTCTAGTCCAGCATTACTACCAGTTAATACCAATCAAACTCCTCATCAACTACTAATTAAACAACAATTTCACTTTCCTGATGTTACGCTTAATGATAAAGCCGTGATGATTGACCATAATAATCGATTAGAAAGTACCACGATGTCTAATGACAGTGATAAAACTCTTAGTATTTCGGGCAGCGCAAGTACGGATTCCGAAAGAACACCAGTTCGAGTTGATTCTCAAGATTCTCAAGTGTCAGATGGAGAACCTGGAGAAAGCCGTTGGCCACGTCAAAATAGTTTATCAATCAGGGAATGGGAAATCCCTTATGATGAATTGAAAATTGGCGAACCAATTGGTACTGGTAGATTTGGAACTGTATATAGAGGCCAATGGCATGGAGATGTAGCTATTAAAGTACTCAATATGGATTATTATTCTGATGATGACAAGACTCTTGAAGCATTCAAATTGGAGGTGGCAACATTCCGAAAAACAAGACATGAAAATCTTGTTCTTTTTATGGGTGCTTGTATGAAACCTCCTCGTTTAGCAATTGTTACGAGTATGAGCAAAGGTATGACTCTTTACACCCACATCCATCTCAGAAAGGATAAATTTAATATGAACAAAACTACTATTATCGCTCAACAGATATCTCAGGTTTGTTTTTTATTCATTTTTTTACTGAATGCATTTTAATAAAATAAAAAAATAATTAATAGACAAATAAAAATTTTTTAGGGAATGGGTTATCTTCATGCTCGTGGAATAGTTCACAAAGATCTCAAGAGCAAAAATATTTTTTTAGAAACTGGAAAAGTTGTTATTACAGATTTTGGATTATTCAGTGTTACGAAACTTTGCTATGGAAACAGGTAGGTTTGACTTTTTATATTAATTGTAATAAATAAATCATTAAAAAAGGATATTTTTAAATTTATTAAGTTTTAAAATTTATTGTTTTCTATTTATCAATAGGAAAAGTCACGGTCTAAGTATTCCACCTGGTTGGCTATGTTATTTAGCACCAGAAATAGTCCGAAAGTTACGACCACAGCAAACAAGAGATCAGGAGGAGCTGTCATTCACGGAAGCCTCTGATATTTATGCCTTTGGGTAAGTTTAATTAAATGATTTTTATAACCTAGTAGACAACTCATCTTGAAAGTTTTTTTTATCCATAATCATCTTATTATGGGTAGTGATCTTGACACGAGCAAGGTTGCTATATGTCAAGGCTGTATTCTCCTTTTTCTTACCCTTTAGATAGCAAAAGGCAATCCACACCCCACGTGCTTATAATTACCATTAATTTTCATTTCTCCTCAATAAAAATAAATATTGAATGTATTATTATCTAGATAAGTTTGTCTACTGTTTATTTTATTAAATCAATATGTCACATGAAATTTATATATTTTCCATTTATTATTTATTACTATTACTTTCTATTCTAACTTACTATATATTTTTATGTGATGATTAATGATAATATATATTATTGATTAATCTTTCAAATTTTTTTCATCAATATATAAATATCTATAATATTTTTTTATTTTTATTTTATAATATTAGAACGGTGTGGTACGAATTACTTTGTGGTGAATGGCCATTTAAAGGACAACCACCTGAAGCGATAATATGGCAAGTTGGTAAAGGAATGAAGCAAACACTAGCCAACTTGCAGGCCTCTCGGGAGGTCAAGGTAAACAAAAAAGATCAAAACATCAATAAAAGACATTAATTTAATGAATAATAAGTTAAACTAATAATAAAATTATTTATAGGATATTCTTATGCACTGTTGGTCGTATCATGAAGAAAAACGACCAGATTTTTCTAAACTTCTGACGATGCTGCAAAAGCTGCCTCGAAAAAGATTAGCTCGTAGCCCTTCTCACCCTATCCACCTTTCGCGTTCTGCAGAATCAGTGTTTTAAACAAAAACTTACTACAGTTTAATCGAAATTGAATTGACTGTAAATAATTCATTAATAAGTACCTCGGAATGTGACTCTAATTAATATTACGTTTTATGATAGTTTCACATTCCCACAACTCTATTATTAAGTAAAGAATAATTCAACAAATTTCTTGAAATTATTATTACTGTTGTCAATGTTAGTGTCATTATCATTGCTATTGTTATTATTACCTTTGTATATAAATGAGATGTAATTGTTTGACGACTTACGTTGACGTGAACGATTGATTACTCCAATCGTTCTATTGAAAATAGTCATTAAATTTTATTTCATCATTCTTACTCCATTGTTCTCTTTGTTAACTAATTGTTTGCCTTAATTTAAAAGTTCGTCTTGTAAGTATAAATATAGAAATACAAAAAAAAATTGAAAATGATTTAAATGCTAACGGAGTATTCAATGAGAGTATTACATGTTATATATAAATATACTTTAAAAAATCTTGATCGAATAATTCAATGTTATTTTAATTTTGTCTTGATAAAAATAAAAGAAACAAATGATAAAGATATACTAGTCATATTGCACTTCTTGTTATACTCCTGGAAAATGATTAAATCAATTTTCCTTATTAACAATTAGATTTAAGTACTTACTCTTCACACATATATTCTCATTAATATTAAAAAATCATGATGTTTCTATTAATGATAAAGAAACTATAAAAATGTAAAAATGTGTACATAAACATCTTGATGCTACATTTTTCAATGCTAAAATTATACATATACAAAGAAAAATCAATAGTAAATAGTTCAATCATTCAAATAATCATAAAAAAATTGTTTTCATCAAAAAATATCAATTTTATCATCTTCACTTGCTTTATTTTGGCGTATTTACGAGATATGTATATTGTATGTTGAAAAATATGACAAAAATGAACAAAAATAAATGTGGAAAAAGCATACATGTGAAGATTATACAAGACTATAATATAATTATATTTATTATTGTTAAATTGTCTTACAACAATGGTATTGGTTATATGCAATTAACTATTTATTAATTCGTGTTCAATAAATAATTACATATATCTTTGTTACAGTCTATAAAATCTTGGATCTCTACAAAATGCTTTCTGATAATACCATAAATATAATATACTTTTTTCTCTCTTTAAAACGCATCTTGTTTCTTTATTTCAACTCAATAATAATTTCAATATTAATCATTTATTCTTTTCATTTTTATATAAAATCTTTTTCTTAACCGTAAGAATAGATTTCTAATTATCTAATAAAAAATACCTTTTTAATCACTTCGATTTTCAGCTTGAAGAATATACTGATTTGTCTCTGCCAGTTCTTTTTTTAATTCTAATATTTGTTGTTGCCAGTAACTTTTACGAATTTTATCCGTTTCTAGTCGCTGCTCAAATATTTTTATCAACGGTTTTACAATAATATCACCTATATGAACAAGCGCGCGTGTGCGCACTGCATGATTATGAATGTATGCGAAAATATTGGAATTATTTTGACAAGGTTCTGCAACTTCTTCTTCCTCTTGAATAAGAATTCTAGGAAGCTCCTTCATCGTCTAAATTATAAATATAATTTGTTAATATTTCATTCAAATTGATAATTGATAAGTAACTTACAGATAGACATGTTTCTGCTATCTTATCAGTCCTGACGATTTCCAAAGGAATTTCTATAACATCGCCATTACGAGATTGGAAGCAAATCAAAACACTTTCTTGACCCTATCCAACATAAATGACGTAAATTTTCGTTTTAATTTATTTTGATGTATTAGACACTTGTAAATTCTATAATTGATATCTTACTTTTGTTTCTTTACACTCCGAAAAGACAGAAAATATAAGTCCCACAAAGCCAGGATCCATCATTTGATAAGCATCTTGTGTTCTGACATCTGAATATTAATAGTTTATGTTAAAAACGATTAGAAAATTATTAATTTTTACGTATTTGATACTTGTGTCAAAAATACTAAAATCATTTGTTTTTAATATTGCATGTATTGACATCAATTCAAGCTAAATTTATATTAAATTACTAGGTAACCAATATATACAACTTTTACATCATTTAAATGTTCAATAAATAATTTAAATACCCACCAACATGTGATGGAAAAACAGTGATATGAGGATGAGAATGATACCACCCAAGAACTCTCATAGGTCGTTTCAGTTCAGCAGCAAGTCGTTCAGCTTCAGCTGCAGCTTTTAACAGCTGTTCTGATGAAATTTCAACCCTGTCTTTTTTTTTATCCAAACGACGAAGTATTATAACTGCTGATATTCTAGCAATTCCATCTTCGAGCTAAATATATGCAAATAAAATTAACAACTGCTTATTTAAAAACATTGTAAACACTTACATTACCAATAAGTAATCCCATAACTTCAAAATTTTCTGTTGATAATGCATGCTGAAAGCATGTCATGTAGACGTCTGCCTGTAATTCAACTTTTTTTAATGGACCATTCATTTTAATATCAATTATGTATGAGAAATATCAAAAATATAGTTTAATTCAATTTTGTTGACAATTTTGATATTAAACGCTTTAACATTTCCACAAATAATTATTAAGGAGCGTAGAACATTATCTTTAACAATGAACAAATCTTTTCAATAATCATTTAAGAAAATAGTTGAATATGTAAGCTTAGTTTGTTATTTGATTTTATTTATTCAACAATTTATTTAGAATTTAACATTGTTATTTAATGTAAAATATAACCAAACTCTTGATATGCGAATTTTCGGATTGCCTCGATTATCTTCGGTTCTTTTCGTCAAACGCAAGCGCAGATTTCCATCATGTCATGCTCCGAAACATCGAAAGTATGGTTGCTATAATGATACTTTTTATGAAAAGTTTGTTTATATACATATCACATTTAGACTACTCAAATATTAATTAAAACATTTTTTTTCATCATAGTTGTGTGCAATTTTAATACTGATATTTACTACGAATGACATCTTTCATATGACAAAAAAACGTGTATAATTCATTTTTTGCGAATCATATATTTGTATATGTTCAATGATCAACAAACAAATTAGACTGTAAAAATTAAATATCATAATGAACTATTTGTTATTATTTACAGTTTTATATTTCTTTGTAAATAAATCATTTGTAGTAACTTTAGAAAGTATTAACTGCATAGATAATCCTGACAATTTTAAATGTAAATTTGCTACGATTGTGCCTTACAGATATATAGCTAATTACAATGATACTGAGATATCAATTCCAGGTAAATGATTCATTTTTTTATTTATAAATTAATTCTTAATAACTTAATATTATAATTTTTTTCGACAGATTGTGAAGCTCAAAAAATATGGTTTCTTATAAGGCATGGAACACGTTTCCCAAGTAAAAAAATTATTGAAGAAATCAATAATAAACTCCCTGCACTAAAACAAAAAATACTAGACAATTGTAAATTTAAAGAATGTTTTTTAAATGAGAAACAATTGAAAAATCTAATTGATTGGAACTTAAATATACAAGAAGATCAAGCGATGATCTTAGCAAATGAAGGAAAAAATGAATTGATTGGATTGGCAGAACGTTATCAATCAAGATTTCCTAAATTATTACCAGAAAAATATAAAAATTCAACATATAAGGTATAATTATTTATCTATTTATAAAAATACAGTGTTATTTGATTTCAAATTTGTATTTATAAATACTTTTATATGGATTTATTAGTTTAAATTTACTGCTAGTCAAAGAACAAATCAAAGTGCTAAATATTTTACTATTGGATTATTTGGAAAACGTCAAAGTGATCAAATTTACTTTCCTGAGCCAGAAGAAAAAGATCCAATACTTCGAGTGAGTTTTTAAATGTACAATCGAACAATAAATTATTCATATTTTAATTTCATTTTATTTACTAGTTTTACAAAGCATGTGATAAATGGTTGAAGAATGTAAAAAAAAATCCTCAAGCTTTACGAGAACTTGAGGAATTTAAACAAAGTGCCACAATGAAAACAATGTTAGAAAATATGTCACAGCGTTTGGGTTTTAACGTCGACTTTGGTAAGAAAAATGTGAATATTTGAATGATTTTTTATAGATCAATCTGTCGAACCAATCGTGTGAATTTATGTTTTCAATATTCTCATCCAATCAGATGATATTAAATTGATGAGATCCATGTGTTCATTCGAAACGGCTTGGAATGAACAAACTAAATCACCGTGGTGTCATATTTTATCTCCAGAAGCTTTTGAAGTTATGGAATTTGTTGATGATTTGAAATATTACTGGATAGATGGATATGGATTTGCATTGACGAGTGAACAAGCGTGTCCAGCCTTAAGAGATATGTTCGATTTTTTCAAGTAAGTTTGATAAACTTATTCTACTTGTTGTTCATTAATATCAACAAATTCAATAAATATACTATATAATTTACTAGATCGAATGATGAATTAAAAATATCTGCTTATTTCACTCACTCTGGCACTTTACTGAAAGTTTTAAGTATATTGGGACTTGCGAAGGATGCAGAACCATTGCTACAGAGTTCATTCAGAACGTCTAAAAATAGACAGTGGCGAACGAGTCTCATTGATGCATTTGCAACAAACATGGCTTTCATTTCCTATAATTGCAAGTCTAATGGGCCAAGTATTCTTGTAATGCATCAAGAACGTATTGTGAATCTTCCTGGATGTCCAAAGAATGTTCCATGTCCCTTGAATACAATGGAAGAAATGTATCCTGATAAAAAAGAAGAGTGCAATTTTGAAGACATCTGTTCTTCATGAAATTAATTAGTGATTGATACATGAGCTCTTTTCAGGTTTAGAATTATAATTAAACTTGAAAAATAAATTACTATTTTCGATACGACCATACATTTTATAAATTATTGTAAAAAAATCAGAAACACCAAAAAAATTTTATATTGTAATGTAACGGAATACTCTACTGTTTTCAAGCTTTATCAAGTAAAGATGAAATAAATATATTTAATGTATTGTAATAATTTAACTGATCTAATATCCAAATAGAAGTAACTAGGTTTATATTTAATGTGTTCATGATGATCATATGTTACAAGATATTAAATAAATAATAGTATTTAATGAGATTTGATATTCGTACTTAACTGCTTATTAAGTAAAATTTTGATGTAACATTCTATTAATTAAGTAAGCAAGTTTCCTTCTTGGTAATATACGTTAACTAGCTGTATTAGTTTCGAGCACTTTACATGTGTTAGACTCGAACATTTGATGATAACCATAACGTTTAGATGTGGTAATGATTTATAAACAATGATAAAGAAAAAAAATTTTAATAAATATTCTGTTATGAAAATAACTCATTTTTTATTCACAAACAAATTAGGAATTATTTTTGCATAAGGATGAGTAGATAAAAAGTTATTTAATTGGTGCTTTATCACTTGCTATTATAACAATTTAAAATGCTATTTTTCCTTTAAATAATCAGTATTTCACATTTGTCATAATGAAGATACAAAATTGACATTCATGAAATGATAAATAGAGCAGAATGATAGTGGTTGAAATACAAGCAGTTAAGATAGAATTTGAGGAATTCACATTATTATCCATCAGGCTTTATAGAAATGATACTCAGCATCTACACATGTTCCACTTGCTATTTACAGATAATACTTTAATTACATACTTGTGTAAATCTGAGCATTCGAAAGTCAAATGTAGTAAATAATCAATAAAATAAGTAATAAATTATAGTACGTAATATTTTACATGAAAAAATTATTACAATAATTAATCTTGCAAATATCGATTATAATCCGAATTATACAAAATCATTCGTTGTTTTACTTATTTTTCACAATTATATGAATGGAACGTCATGGATAATTAGTTTGTTGATAAACGACTACAGGAAAAAAGAGTCTAATGCTTTATAAAATTTAATGTACACAATAATAATTATTCAACAATTATATTATCCGATTGAGATATATAAAAACGATAACTTTTTAAATTAGTTCTAGTTGTTATCATGCATTTTTGCGTAACATAAACAATTTTTAATAAGTTAACTAGAATAATTAGTTGAAATACACTAAAGTTTAACCAATTTTTAACAATGATGCCTACAAGCATTGTAACTAATATGTGGTTAAAATTATTGGTGATTATTTCATTTGCTTATTCAAGTAATTCAGAAATAAATCCATCTGAATATATTGATTGTATGGAAAATCCTTATAATGATAAGTGTAGATTTGCTTTATCAGAGCCTTATAGATATGTTGCGAATTATAATGACAGTGAAATAATATTACCAGGTGAAATATTAATTATTAATATATTAATACACTAATGAGTCAAAAATTAAATGAATGTTTAAAAAATTTATTTATTTAATTTTATTTTCTAAAAGGTTGCAAAGCTGAAAAAATTTTCTTGTTCATCAGACATGGAACACGATTACCAGATCCAGAGGTTCTTGTAGTAATGGACAGACTTCCAATTCTACAACAAAAAATTCTCAACTACTGCAATGAAGAGAGTTCATCATGTTACTTGAATGAAAAACAATTACAAGATTTAGCTGATTGGAAATTCGTTAAAATTCCTATAGAGGATAATATGCTTTTGGTTGAAGAGGGTCAGAGAGAACATGTTGGATTGGGAAAACGATTTCAGTCAAGATTTCCTGACTTGATGCCAGAAGAATATGATAATACCATTTATCAAGTAATTATTAAACGATCAATGTCACATAAACTATTTTTGTACATTAATGAATAATTAGTTTCTATATAAATACATTAATTTGGTTGATTAGTTTCGAACCACTAATACTCAACGAACACGGGAAAGCGGAAGACAATTTACGATTGGTCTATTTGGTGAGCAACAAAGTAATGAAGTTGAATTTCCTGAACCTCGAGATAAAGATCCAGTACTCAATGTGAGTTTTTTTAATTAATGATAAAACAACAAAATTTTAATATTTATCTTGAATTTTTTTTTTATTTTTTAGTTCTATGAAGTGTGTGATAGATGGATAAAAGAAGTAGAACAGAACCCCGAAACCTATGTAGAGTATGAAAAATTCAAGGCTGGTGAAGTAGTACTATCAATGCTGATAGATTTCACTGAACGACTAGGATTTAGAGTTACTTTTGGTAAGAGAGTAGTAACAAGAATTAAAAACTTTTATCATCTACTTTTTTTACACTACTCAAAGTGCTTTTACTTTTGCCGGCTCTATTGAATTGCTAATTGATACTTTCTTTTAAAGAAGTATAGATCAGTTAGTAATTTGATAAAGTAAGAAAAAGGTTCAAAATAAATTTCGTATGAAACGATAATATAATTAAAAAATATCAAATGTTGTATCAAATTTTAATGCAATACATTCATTTATTTATAGTTTTATCTATTTTTCAATAGTTTTTAATAGTAGTAAAAATAATTAAAAAAATTTTAGAAATTGTAATTTACTTGAAATTATATCCACATACAATTTGTCTGAAATGTTTCATTTCTGTAATCAGATGATGTGAACGCTATGTATTCAATGTGTCTCTTTGAAGTTGCTTGGGATGAACAAGTAACAGCTCCCTGGTGTCCACTTCTAACTTCAGAAGATCTTGAAATTATGGAATTCTCTGAAGACCTAAGATACTTTTACACTGATGGATATGTATACCCACTAACAGCGCAGCAAGTATGTCCAGTTATGGTTGACATGTTTCAATTTTTCAGGTATGTCTAGCATAACTCATTTTACTCTACTTTTTTCAAATATAAATTTTTTAATCTTATGTTATATCAATAATTACATTCCAGATCAAATGATACCTTCAGAACAATGGCCTCTTTTACTCACTCAGAAGCTGTATTAAAAGCGTTAACGTTTTTGGGAATATATAATGACAATAAAACATTTTATCATGATTCATTTGAATCATCAAGAGATAGATTATGGCGAGCTAGTCTTATTGATGCATTTGCATCAAATATTGCTTTCGTATCTTACAACTGTGAATCAAGTGGGCAAAGTATTCTGTTTATGCACCAAGAACGTATTGTAACTATTCCTGGATGTCCTGAAGGCGTTCCATGTCCTTTAAATATAATGGAAGAGAAATTTCCTGATAATGATGAGGCGTGTGATTTTGATAATCTATGCTTCGTCTAACGAGAATTAACTGCTCCAAAATAACAAAGTAATTCAACAACATAATTTGAGTATCATTAAATTCGTTATCATGATTAAGATAATTATTAATTACTTATTCATTGAATCATTATTTGAAAAAAAAAAGATCACTCTAATTTGTGTGTAATAATACGATACAAGCAGACTGTTTTGATTTTAAAAGTCATCCATTTAATAAATTAAATAAAATATTATTATTAATTTTTTTTATATAAAATTTAAACAACTAGAAAAGATTTACATTCATGGTCTGTTCTATGTTCAGGATGAAGCAGAATTAATATTCTAAAGATGACAAGCAGAAGGACAAGACTGTAGAGAATAGAACATGAGTAGCTAAGATGGCATTTCAGGAATGTAATCATCAATTGGATTTTACGGAGATTGTACCCTACATATACATGATTTCCATCTGTTGTTTATATATGCTATTTTGTATCCATATTTGCACCCACACGAATCATCGGAAATGAATGGTTTATTTACAGATTTACTGTATTCGTGTAAATTTTAAAAAGTCACATAAAATACATTATTAATACTTTACGTAAATTATTATTGATAATGTATAAATATCGTAATTAAAAAAAGCAGTTTGTCTTTTTATTTATTTTAATCTCCAACATACTTTGCATAAACTTTGTTAGTGATTTCCATTTATATTATCCAGAATATTTGATTTTTTTTATCATTCATGGATTTCGTTGTATTGGATTTGACATAAATTTTTTTTCTTTTTTTTCAACTCAATGCCTTCTTCTCCTAGTTTACTCGAGCCATAAAATTCATGCAATCCAATGTTACAGCATATTTTAGAATTCAGGAAAATACATTTTTTCGCAATCAACAGTAAAAAAATTTTGATTTATTTTTTGGAGTAAATATTTTACAGAATATGCGATATGAAATAAAATAAAATATATTGTTTTATATTATGAAATTAACTGCTATTCACATTAAACCATTTATAAAGCTTACAGTTTTTCATTATGAAAAAAATAAAAATTTTCCATTTCGTTCATGATCGAATTAAAAGAAAGAATAAAAATCAGTAAAAATGTCGTATTTGTTTATAAATAAACATACGGAGATATAAAAATTTTTCAATGAAATTTAACGATCGTTCCCAAATATATCCGGAAACTCATAAAATAGATGGAAGCAACTCGAATATTTTTTACTCTCTCTTCCTTCTGCTTGTACATACTTTTCCGTTTATTATTTCAGACGACTGCAGTGGTTTACATGGTGCCCACCGTAAATCCTTGAATGTTTCTTCTAGCTGTTTAACATTTATACTGAAAACTCATCAGTAAGATACCAGCTGCAGATGAGCATCATCGTCTAATTGCAAACTTTTCATAAGGTAGCACAAAGTTTCACTTATCCCTCTTCAAAGCTGTTGTTGAATATATCATTTTAAACTTTACATTTTCCTCAAGCTATTACTAAATTCAGCTTACGTGTATGTGTTCAACATCTAGAGGTGTATACAAACTTATAAAGGAAGTTTTGGTGATTTTGATTGATTACTCTATACACACTGTCATAAATAATCATGCCGTTATCTGGTACCTCATCCCAAGACACCCTACAACCTCTTACACCCCCAGTGAGTATTCACCGTTTTATTAATGACACCTTCTCTTGCACAACATTAAATTCTTTAAGTATAAAAGAAAAACTAGGAATATTTCCAGTCTACTTACACTTTATTCCGGTTTTTGATGAGAAACAATGTTCTAGAAGATTTTTAATTCATTATTTTTTACTCCAACATGATAATCTTATCAGTAATGCTATGAAAAATAATAGTGGATTATTAAAAGTATTACAATGTAAGAAGTGGAACAAAAGTTTTATTCAATTTGAATGGTAAATAAAAATAATCTTGAGACTAAGTAATTTTAAAGAGTATTCAAAATCGCTCGGAAAACTTCAATTAATGATAAGTCTATTGTTTTAACAAAGTAGTGTATTTAATTAAATTACTGCGGTAGAAGAAAATTGAAAAGTTTCAACTAATCGTAAATTTACTATTTCCTTTTATTAAAATAGAAATTTAAATGAAATTTTGATTAGTACAGATTTTCTTCAAAATATTTGAGATGAAGTCAAGAAGTTTCTTTTAATATTATTATTATTATTTTATTCTTCAAAGGAGAAATTTAATTGTTTTTTTACTCTGAAGAAATGTTGATTCATTCATTTCTATTTACTACAAAATTCATTTAATTCAAATGATAAAACAATAACGTTGAAAAATAAAAAAATTTAAATGTGTCTATTAAAATTCAAAATAATAATGGACTTTCTAGTTCTCTGTTGATCATTTATCTTTTATATCTGCATTTTTCTATGCATAGATAAAATCATTTTCAATCACTAGTGATATTGAAAAATAATTGTTTTCAATAACATCTTTAATGTCATTCAATTCAATTAAAATAAAAAATTACTAATCAAAATAATATAATTAATTTTCGATACCAAGTTTGAGTTAATCATTATGATCGATTAAACAATTGATATATAAAAATTTCCTGCTACATAGAAATATCATTTAATTATTCGAATTTCACTGACAACAGTAATATAGTGACACATTTCATGAATAATACATAAAAATTAAATATATATGAAAACAATTCAAAAGATGTCATCTACTGTGCAAATTTTCTACACATGTACACTGATTATTATTTGCAAACAAGCGAAATGTAATTGGACGACCTGTCGCAATTGATTTTCCCATGAGTCTCGTTTACGACTACACACATTTTCAATGCATAGATAATTTATGATAACTGCTTTCCTGATCGATGCTTCTATTACACTATGAAAATGAAACAGTGAAAATTTGATAAGATTATGGTGTACTACATATACATATCAACACTTTTAGAAACTTAATACTTTTGCCGTCTAAAAACAATTCACACAAAGTCAGAAAATACTTTGATAAAATTTTTAACATTACCATAGTTGTTGCGATGAAATATCAGAAGTTTGTAGAATATATTCAAAGGTTTATATAAGTTTGTTTGGTATTTTTTTAACATTGAATACAGAAGTTATTCCAAAAGAAATAAACATTAAACTTGGAAAATTATTTCAGTTTTGGTTTATGAGTTTACTTGTTATATTTTTCAAATGATTAACATCTTTTATGTTGTAATAACCAAAATGGTTTCTTTGTAAAATACGTTATTGAAAAAAGAAATATCGTATAAAAAATGACAAAAAAATAGTTAAGTATAAAAAGTAATTGTGAAATAATCAACATCGTTCAATTACTGTTATTTTACATTGATTTATTTTACACTTGCACAGGGTGATCATCATCATACAGGACGTTACGTTGTTGTTGGTGCAGTCTTGGCAGTCACGTTGTTGATTCTACATCACGTGCTGCTTCGCGATACTTCAACAATCGCTGGGATTTGCATACCTACTATCGTAATGATGACTTACATTCTTTGGGTTTTCTACTCAGCTCGCAAAGACAGACTAAAGGTCTCATTTCAAGTATTTCTAGCATTTTTTTAATTTTCTCTTTAAAAAAAGAAAAGTTTACTTTATAACGTATTCTATTTTTAACAATGAATTAAACTATTTCAACAATTTTGAACTAAAATTGAAAATAAAATAATAAAAAATTAAATAAATGAAAGTACAGCAATAGAAGATAATTATAGAACATAGATTCAAATAAAGTTTTAATTCTCTCGGTCTAGTTGCCGACAAGATCATTTGGTTGTTTGACTTGACTGTTTATTTGACATTGCAAACAGATGGACATCCTGAAGTCTCACCAAAGCAGGCTTTCAAATTCCTGGTAATCCTGTCCTTTGATTAAAATTCCATCAACCGTCAGAGTCATTGTTCCATTGAAACTAATACCTCTTCTATTATCCATCAGGTGATGGAACAAAATAACGTCAACAACTGTGATGAAAAATTGAACTATACCATGCTTCACATATAGTTTATTATCAAATTTGTGGTCACTTAAATTTTGCATATTTAAAATTCTCTTACATATTCATTCAATATGAAATATAAATTGCAAAGGAATTACTGATATTACCTTTTTCTTAAAATTTAGTATATTTTGTAAAATACAGTTTATATAATATTAATCTAATTTTATATGGGAATTAAATAATCAAAGGAGTTTGCAAAATAATTTATAACTATAAATTAAAATTCTTTTTTCAAAACGAAGTTATATCGTTTAATAAATTAATAAATGGAATACTGAAAACTGTTGTAGAATATGCAGATCTTTATATAATATTTATAATCGAAAAAAGTTCTTTTATGTATCGAATTTTCTCGTAAAATAACCCAAAGTATTTCTGGAAGATTTAACACTTGTAGTGAAAGTGCATTGAACTATCTCTCATTAATCTTCTAATTTTCTTGTTGAATTTGAATAGACTTTTACAGATTCAAATTGTGATTAAACTTTAGCAGCATATAATACATGTGCTTGGCGTAGCAGAATTAATCACATTTCATCCTTGATTTTCCTAAATGAGCTGAATGCTATGAAATATAGTAGTAAAACGCGTTGAATAATCAACTCATGTATAAATTTTATAATTCAGATGCATGTTGAAATTAAATATTTTATACAAATGAATGATGACAGTGTATATAGTCCAATAGTCAAAGCAAGAAATAAAATACGTACAAATCAGTATAAATGAATGATTTAATGACTAACCAAGTGCAAAATGCACATTTGTCTCACAAATTGTAATCAGTCGTTGTTTTCGAGCAGACACGACGAATGGCTTTGACCATGCAACAACTGACGGAAGTGATTAGCAATGTACCAGGAAATATGAGCAAAGCAACTGGAGATAGTCGAAGGTGTACGACTGAAGCTATGAGAGAAACACAGGAAAGGAATCCTGCCATGACAAGTGTACAGGGAAGACCGGTGATGTTGTCAACAACAAAGGCTTGTCAAACCAATGAAACACAGCAACGTTTTAACCATGATCTTGGAAACATCACGTGAAGTTTTTTTTATCTATTTCCCAATATTTAACTTTTATTATTTTATCTTCAAATATTTTGTAATTGTATGTAATAAATTATTTATTATTGAGATGTAAATGATGCTATTGAATATTTTTTCAGAAGAATACACAGGTATAGCTTAACATATTGATTTGAAGAACTTTGTGTGGAATTTAATATATTAAAATGAATATAAATAGAACTAGAATTTAAGTAATTTTGGTAATTATGCAGGAAGTGAGTTCATCTCAGAAGGGAATAACTTTTTAATTTAATTAACAATAATATCAACATATAATTTAATATAAGCTTTCAAATATTATTCTTACTTGGATGTTATTTGTCTTTAATAAATATGTTGAAAAATTATTATGTGATGAAAAATTGTTCTAAATTATGAAAGCAACAATATATTCCAAGGTTAAGGTTATCAAAAACAAGCCCTATTTTTCTAAAACGTTCTTTCAAATGATGAGCTTATTCCTGCTTTTTTTTATACTGCATTAGATCATGAACCTTGGTAAAAAGTGAAGTTATCAATTGAACAGAAATTATGAAGCTACCATTTTGGCATAATTATTATAATTTTTATTAATATCATGATAATATTTTTTATATTTAAAAAAATTTTACTTGGAACTCTCATTACATAATAAATTTATCTTTTTGAATATAATTATTAAGCTTATTATAGCTGTAGAAGTTACTAACTGAAATGAAAATGGAATATTACTAAAATTAGCAAAAAAGAGATTAAACTAAATTATAAATAATGATAAATTTACATTGCTGTGATGATAATTTAATTAGTAACAAACTAAAATTATCTACTATTTCATAATTATATTTATATACATTTTTTGCACGATCATTTATTATAAAAACAAAACATACAAAGAATCTATTTTTGTAATGATCAAAAGATACTTTGAAGTCACTTTTGATTAGTTTTTTTTCATATATACATTCTTTGTTAAATAAATAACTAAAATGTTAATTTTATGGAATTTATTTATAGGCTTGTTTACAATTGATCCTCATGGTCCATTGAGATTATCATTAATGACAGGAGAAAAATTGATAAGAATAATTTTGAATGAATACACTCTTTGTTGTTTGACTGGATTTAACATTAACTTGGTTGGCCTTGTACGCTTTGCTTGACAACAAGCCATGTGCGAGTGACAACCACCAGCGGGTAACCACCAGCATTAGCACAGTGAGTACATGCCAGGATAATATAAAGTTTAACCAGACTTGAGTAATAGTTTGGAATATTCAACTTTTATAGTTTTTCCTTTATGGGATATAATATACATATCTATAATTATAACTTATTTTTACGCCAATATCCAAGCAAACTTATTATAAAATGCTAATTTTATTCGATTTAATTTTTGACATTTTTACACTCATAAGTTAAAATTATCGCTTGAACCAGGTATACTCTTGTGATTGGAAAATTTGATAATACTTGCCAACATGATATTTTGTTGTCTAAAAATTGCACTTTCATTTTTGCATATTGTGTTCTCCTCCTGTGAGAAATTGTTTCGATACAATAGTGCCTTGATGAAGGACCAATTAACAGCAATAGGGTTGATTATTACTACACTGAATTTTACTATGGAATTTTAGGAAGAAATATTTTCTATTATAGAAAAACTAGTTGATGATGTATATTATCTTAAAATAAATTGTTGAATTTATTTACACATTTTTTAATACTCTCTCAAAATTAAAAATGTTGTATTTAAATATCTGATTAATGAAAATATGGTAAAAAGATTTAAAAAGAGGAAACTTGTGATAAAAACCATTATTTTAATTGTACTTAATTGTACTTATCAACATCAAAGTGTACTTTGAGCTTGCATTTACTTATAAAATTAATTCGTGGAAAAATTTAAGCAAAATTTCTCGAGAGAAAATGTTTTATACAATACGTGAATTAAATAAACTTATGTTAATGTAATTAAACTTTATATCGCATTAAAGTATAAGTTTATTGAAGGTAAATAAATGTATTGATTAGAAAATTTCAAGATATCTATTTAATTTCATTAATTGGAAGCTTAAATTCTATATCAAGTAAAAACATGATTTCATTTCTTTTGATTTAATATAATTTATTGCATCAAAAGAAATGAAATCAATATTATATTTCATTGTATTAATTGTAATAAAAAATATCTAACAATCAGTTGCAGAAATTATCCGCAAATAAATCAGTAAATCCACGACATTTTTAATACTCAATTTTTTCGACGCACAACGAAATTTTATCGACTACCATTTATTGCCCATTTTATTATTTCTTTTATGATTGGTGGAGAAATTATATCATATTTATTTCAATTGAATAAAAAAATTGAATGAAAAAGCACTGAAATATCATTGAAACCGTGTTTTAATTTGAGATTGATAAAAAAAATTTTTTTTATCAATTTTTTATTTCCTTAAGACTTCATCTGTATTGCAGTGATCAAGATAAGTTTTTAAATAAATAAAAATATTAAATAAAAAAAACTACTTGATAAATTTTTATTTTTACTTTATGATTAATCTTCGCATATAAAAGTTAGAATAAAACGTTACCATAAAAACTGACGATCTCACAGAAAGTTTAAATACTTAAATAACTTCTCATCACCACAACATTCAGGTTAACCTTAACCCCAAATGAAAAAGCACCGCTAAATTCGCAGTATTTTTTTTCAAAAACCAATTATGGAATGGCTGATTACATCAAATGGGTATTCCACGAAATAGGTCATGCAGTACGAAGATTCTTCGGTATCTTCAACCACCATTATCGCCAATCAAACCCGTAAAACTCTATTCATTAATATCCAACTAAATTGATTAAATAAATAAGTAAAGTAAACTGAAAAAGCATTTTCTCAGAGTAAATAATTTAGACTGTAATTCTTTTCAACAGCAGACGAGTTGTAAGATTCTCTCAGGTGATATCATACATCAGTGTTCCAAGTTACTACTACTGGTCTTCCTCTCTAAGAGAAACATACCTTGAAAAGACACAGATAAAGAGAAAGAAAATGAAGCAAAAAAGAAAAAAGAAACTGCAAGAGAGTCAAGGCGAAACCTGGAGATAATCGTCGGATTGCACTAGCTTATTGCTCGTCGAGTGAAAGAAAATCCTACTCGAATGTTCTGAGAGCTTGTATTCTTATCTTCATTTTCAATTTTTTTTTCTTTCATTTCGTGAGAAAAATCCTAAGTTTAAAAAAATAAATAATAGAGAATTTAAATGATAGCAATTCACGTTAGTATCCTTTGTTGTCTTTCTCATCTAGAAAAAGAACAATGCCAATGCATTTAAGCATAGAGTTGCATATTTGTCTATTTAATGAAGCGTACGGTAGCATGTTTGTCTTGAAAAAAATTCTCATTTATTACTCTTGTAGTATTTCTTTGTTCTTTATGTAACGTCATCACCCGTTTTTATTTTTACTAACAGAAAGGCTTTTTGTGTAACACTGAATGGTTATTTTATTATAAAAATTCATGGAAACATTGTAAATTAGAAATTTCTTTGCAAAATTACGAACTTTATGATGTTTTGTATTTTTATTTTTCAAGTTTTTATTGGAGTTTTACATTTCAGAAAATTTTTCATGAGTTTTTATCACCCTTTTTTTACCACAAAAATTTGAAACTTTCCATAAATTCTAAAAGCACTATTAGAATTCAAGTAAATCAGTCGATTGAAACTGAAAGCGGTGTTTTAAAGCTCATGTGTAGTCTTTTATTTTTATTTTTTTCTATCGTTGCACAATTTTTTTGTCGAGTGATCAAATATCAAAGCAATAACTCTTTACTTTAAATGTCACCAACTTTTGATCTAATATACAAGCGATAATTAAACAATCTCTTGGATATCATTATTGAGTTGAAGGGTTTCTTATTCAAAAGCTTCAACTATATTACCTATAAAAAAATTTCTTTTATCTTGTAATATCCGTTTAGAAGTCCTTTACAAATCTCGTTTTTATAGCTTTCATTTAACTCGCTGTCATTTTGTGAGAAATAGTTAATTCGTCGACATGTTGACCTTCTCTTCGAGCTGAATTTGCCCCAAGTAATTGAGTAAAAGTTCAGATTGTGTAGAATTTTTTTATACTCGAGATTGTTAAAAAGGTACTGAATAAAAAAAAGCATTTTCCTTTCAATCAGTCATTGTAAAGCAATTTATAAAAAATGCACGTAAAAAGTGATATTTAAGTTTTATCATAATAATAATATCATGTTTTTTGAGTGTGAAAAAATCAAAATAAATTGACTAAACAGTGTAACATAATAATAATAAGAACCATCATCAAGTGTTACTCTAAAAAGTTATAAAATACTCTTGTTCTCGTTCTAATTTAGACACGAATTGGAAATTCTCTCTTGAACATTTGCATGAGAGTCAGAGTTGTTGAATGAGCAGAACAACTCTGTTAGAGTTTTATTCGTTCAAGAGTAATTGGATTACCCGAGTTAGGAATAGGTCTAAAGTTTAGTGGTGCACGTCCACAATACAATAATAAGCGGATAAAAATGAGGATAAATAAAAATTAAATTACATCATAAAAGTCACAAGTAAAAAAAGAATTTATCTTGATAAATAATCATAATAATACTTGTAATAAAAATTATTTATTAGCCAATTTCACGTTCAAATGGAAAAGTAAATATAGAAGTCATACTTTACTTTTTTCAAAATTAATATCAGTATTTAATGTGAATCAGTTGGACAATGGCACTATTATTTGAAGTCACTAAACTTATGATCAATTTTTTAGAAAAGTAGTTATTGAATGATGTTCATTACTTACCAATAAAAAAAGTTTTACTGTTGACCCTTTGATTGGTAATAGGATCTTTTCCATTTAATTCTTTCAATAAAATTTTTGTTTATTATTTATTATCTACAGTTATTCCAATTTATTTGAACTTATTGGAGTTCCGGAGACTTAGTGTATATAACTTCTTAAAAAAGTTGGTTTGATTTAATCTTAACCAATGTTAATAAATCACCAACAAATTCATTGATTCAAAGAAAAGATCTTCCTTATTAAGTTCATGATTAATAATTATTGATTATTTATTATAAATACATGTTAAAGATTAACAGAACAATCTCCATCGAATTCTGATGCACTTTTTCTTGATTTTTGACTATCTGGAGCAACTACATTACAATATATACAATAATAAAACCAGTATGCTAGTAGAATACTAAAAATGGCAGCCAAGTGATGTTCATGTTCTTATTTTC